CTGCCACCCTGTAGCAGTACTTCTGCTATATGGTGGTGGGCAAGCGGTTAAAAATAAAAATACTTCTGCAGAGGAAAACAGGTCCATCACCTAAGGACACTAGAAAAAACTGGAGTCTTATGGAGTGGGTAGGGTTATACGAGTGTGTACTAGGGGTGACCCTGCCTAGTTTTTTGCTAGTGTCTAATTCACCTGAAGGTAGCCTGCAAAATGTCAAAATAATATTTTTTTTAAATAGAGTAAGAACCTCTAACACAACAAACACTTTTCTCCTGCGCTAGGAAATGACTCAGTAGACCCAATAGGAGTGTTCTGGAATTTTCTGGAATATGCACTGCTTGCTGCCCTCAACAGACCGGGGTGGTCCAAATACACTGGATACAAATGGAGAAACAAAAAAAGGGCGCACCGAACTAGTGCATTATCGTTTAAAATATTTATTGAAGAAATAAAGTAAGTATCATACTCACAATAGACATAAAAACACAGGCATGTCAAACTGAACAAGATGTATGATGCAAACAACATCTGAGTCCAAAAGATGGAACCCTGGATGACCAACTGACTAACGCGTTTCGAGGACACAACCTCTTCCTCAGAGCCAACCATCTTATGGACTCAGATGTTGTTTGGATCATACATCTTATGATAAATATTTTAAACGATAATGCACTAGGTCGGTGCGCCCTTTTTCTGTTTCTCCATTTGCATCCTGAGTAAGAACCTCTGTCAGGTATTTATTGTCATCTGTGTGTCTATTGAGAAGATCTTCTGACTTCCTAATCTGAAATCACCAGATCTCCCCTACAAAGACACAAGTGGCAAAAAAAAGGGAGGGTTTAAAACCCTTCCCTGCTCAAATATGGGTCTCTGATGGAGATGTGCATTATTTGCTTTAGCAAGCACCCTTACCTTTCAAACCAGGATTGTATCGATTTCATCAACGCTTCCCCAGGATAGATATAGTTTTGTTTAAAATAATTCAGAACAGAGATCAGCCTTTTTCTGTAGTTGTCATCCTGCAAATCTTGAGGAACATCAAAAAGACTCTGAATTGCATCATCAGTAATCCGTAAATTATCCCGTATCATTCCATCGTACAGCGTCCATGCAAGTGCATGTTCTTGGTGTTCAATGGCTGCCTGAAGACAGTATGCATAGGTCCGGGTCGTAACAGTCCATGTCTTCTTTATGTTCTCTATTAAACCTAATGCCTCCCTCCAGCGATGTGTTTTACACAAACCCTTAATAAACAATTTATAGGCTGCGGGATCCAAAGGCTGAAATTTCGTCTTCATGATATCATACAGATCACAGACCTCGTCTCCCTGATTCTGATTCACACACAGCAGCAAATAACAAGAAAGTAACTGATAGCTGACGTCGCCCTGTTCTTCTGCCACAAAGCACAAAAGAGACTTGGCGATCTTTAAATCAGTGCCCATTTTCACCATCTCTAAAAACACCATTTTTTCAAACATGTCCGAGTAAGTAGATTTTTCTTTCAGCTCCCTCCAGCCATCAGATCCCAGGGGCTCCGTAGGTAAAGTTATAAGATCTGATTTTACATGGTTACGATCACGCCTCTTTGGATGTGGTATGTCCTTTTCATTCCTCAAAGAAATGTTAGACCTTTTTTTGGATGAACCAGCTAAAAACATTGACGCTCTCCTCTCAGGCACATTGCTTCTAGTCTGTGTTAAGCCTTTTACATAGAACACATGTTCATCTATAGGAGCGTTCACACTGCATAATGTACTTATATAATGGGAAGGGCTGTGCGACCTGGTCATGTCACGGATGGAAGAAGCCGCTTGGTAGATGGAGACTCTGCTTACACAAACCTGTCTGTGCACAGCCCTGAAAAACACGTGTAATGACAACATGATGTGGCCCTCATCAACCCTCTCTACTTCCCTGCTGACTATTAACAGCCACAATGGTTTTTCTAATTGCTCAGAGACAAGCTAAACAAAAGCAGCAGCCAAATCACTCATCTTCTTTCAATAAATCATACCCACTACTAAGAACTAATGAGGCCATAGTTTGTCTGCCTAAAATCGCATGGAGCGGTCACACACCGTTCACTGCCGGCTCAAAGGCGACTCCGGGAGCAGGAAATATATTCTGGTCTCCAGCAGCGGTGCCATTTTCCTGTAGTACGTGCATAGTATTCTATACACCAAGTCTACTGTAAAATGGCCCCCTGCCCTATTCATAAAGCGTGCAGAAATGGAGACGTACTCGCACAGCGTTGATTTCTTGTAAAGTTTGGGTTAAACTAACGTTTCCGGAAGAAGTGACGTTTTGTATTGAACTGTTCGAAAGACTATATGTGGTGTTTCATAGTAACCGGCTATATACAGATTATGAGGCGGCGGGAGGACATTACAGGGCTCGGGCTCTAGTGACTGAACGTGTGCTGCTTCCCTGCCAATGGAGCGCTGATAGGAGAAGTATAATGTGTACCGGAGGACCGGGGGGACTCCACTGCTGGAGATAACACCAGTGTGTGCGCTTACTGGCCCTCATTCTTGGGAGAAAAGAGAGTGAGTGTTTATTATTTCAGTATCCGTTCATAGTTTACACTTTGCTTTTCCTATTATTCCTCATAGCTGTTTATCTGCAGTACAAAGGCACTGCTATATCAGACTGATGTCATCAGCTCGCCTCTGTGCCCCCCCTGCCCGCAGCTTGCCTGCGCTCCCCCCGCCATTGTGAGCAGCTCGCCTGCGCTCCCCCCGCCATTGTGAGCAGCTCGCCTGCGCTGCGCTCCCCCCCCCCCCCCCCCCCCCCCCCCCCCCCGCCGTTGTGAGCAGCTCGCCTGCGCTCCCCCCCCGCCGTTGTGAGCAGCTCGCCTGCGCTCCCCCCCGCCGTTGTGAGCAGCTCGCCTGCGCTCCCCCCCCCCCCCCGCCGTTGTGAGCAGCTCGCCTGCGCTCCCCCCCCCCCCCCCCGCCGTTGTGAGCAGGTCGCCTGCGCCCCCCCCCCCCCCCCCGCCGCCGTTGTGAGCGGCTCGCCTGCGCTCCCCCCCCCGCCGTTGTGAGCGGCTCGCCCTGCCTCCCCCCCCCCGCCGTTGTGGGCGGCTCGCCTGCGCTCCCCCCCCCCCCCACCGTTGTGGGCGGCTCGCCTGCGCTCCCCCCCCGCCGTTGTGAGCGGCTCGCCTGCGCTCTCCCCCCCCCCCGCCGTTGTGAGCGGCTCGCCTGCGCTCCCCCCCCCGTTGTGAGCGGCTCGCCTGCGCTCCCCCCCCCCCCCCCCCGCCCGTTGTGAGCGGCTCCTGCCTGCGCTCCCCCCCCCCCCCCCCCCGCCGTTGTGAGCGGCTCGCCTGCGCTCCCCCCCCCCCCCCCCCGCCGATGTGAGCGGCTCGCCTGCGCTCCCCCCCCCCCCCCGCCGTCGTGAGCGGCTCGCCTGCGCTCCCGCCCCGCCGTCGTGAGCGGCTCGCCTGCGCTCCCCCCCCCCAACCCGCGCCGTGAGCGGCTCGCCTGCGCTCCCCCCCCCCCCCAACCCCCGCCGTTGTGAGCGGCTCGCCTGCGCTCCCCCCCCCCCCCCCCCCGTTGTGAGCGGCTCGCCTGCGCTCCCCCCCCAACCCGCCGTTGTGAGCGGCTCGCCTGCGCTCCCCCCCCCCCCCCCCCGCCGTTGTGAGCGGCTCGCCTGCGCTCCCCCCCGCCGTTGTGAGCGGCTCGCCTGCGCTCCCCCCCCCCGCCGTTGTGAGCGGCTCGCCTGCGCTCCCCCCCGCCGTTGTGAGCGGCTCGCCTGCGCTCCCCCCCCCGCCGTCGTGAGCGGCTCGCCTGCGCTCCCCCCCCGCCGTCGTGAGCGGCTCGCCTGCGCTCCCCGCCCCGCCGTCGTGAGCGGCTCGCCTGCGCTCCCCGCCCCGCCGTCGTGAGCGGCTCGCCTGCGCTCCCGCCCCGCCGTCGTGAGCGGCTCGCCTGCGCTCCCCGCCCCGCCGTCGTGAGCGGCTCGCCTGCGCTCCCCCCCGCCCCGCCGTCGTGAGCGGCTCGCCTGCGCTCCCGCCCCGCCGTCGTGAGCGGCTCGCCTGCGCTCCCGCCCCGCCGTCGTGAGCGGCTCGCCTGCGCTCCCGCCCCGCCCCGTCGTGAGCGGCTCGCCTGCGCTCCCGCCCCGCCGTCGTGAGCGCGCTCGCCTGCGCTCCCCCCCGCCCCGCCGTCGTGAGCGGCTCGCCTGCGCTCCCCCCCCCCCACCCCGCCCGCGCCGTGAGCGGCTCGCCTGCGCTCCCCCCCCCCCCCCCCCCCCCCCCAAACCCCGCCGTTGTGAGCGGCTCGCCTGCGCTCCCCCCCCCCAACCCGCGGCGTTAGCGGCTCGCCTGCTCCCCCCCCCCCCCCAACCCGCGCCGCGAGCGGCTCGCCTGCGCTCCCCCCCCCCCCCCCCCCCAACCCGCGCCGCGAGCGGCTCGCCTGCGCTCCCCCCCCCCCCCCCCGCCGTGAGCGGCTCGCCTGCGCTCCCCCCCCCCCCCCCCCCCCCCGTGAGCGGCTCGCCTGCGCTCCCCCCCCCCATCGCGCTGTGAGGAGCTCGCCTAGCGCAACACAATTCTGTATCATATAATCCTCTATGTCTAGGCACATTAGGTCCTTTAGAGGCAGAAAAAAAATTCTGTTTTGCGTTTTTGAGAGGTTTTCTGGCAGGAAAACCACTAACTGTTCCTAAACGTTATTACATTGTGTTTTTCTGCCAAGGCGTTTATGGACCTTACATGGTACATTTGAACCAAGTTGGTCCAAACAAGCTATTTCCTTTAATAATGCATGTGGCCCTTGTCGGCGCTGTATGTAGCATTAGCTGCACACAGTACACAGAGCTGTGTTACGGCTGAAGGTTTAGTTACACAAAAATTACACATTTTATATTCGATTACATGACAGATGTTTCTTCAGATCATTTTAAAAAATCTTTCAATCTTTTTGGGTCTATCACACTAATAAGTGAACATAAAACGTCTTAATTTATGATTATATATTTATTTCCTGTCTGTAGTAAATACCACACCTACAATGGATTGGAAGAAAAGTCTAAAAGAAAAACTGGAACGGGATAACAAAGGTATTGTTACTAAAGTGGACAGTCATGTGTATACATTGTGGAAAGCCATTTTGTATTTTAGCCAGGAGCATTTTGCTGAACCCCATATAAACAATTATGCACTATGCGGGTTATTTTCGAAAAGTGGAGAGTGCAAAATCTGGTGCAACTCTTCATAGAAACCAACCGGAATCCAGGTTTTCTTGCCAAAGCTTAATTGAACAAGCTGACATTACAAGCTGATTGGCTACCATGCACAGCTACACCAGATTCCACGTGCTCTAGTTTTAGTAAATCTACCCCTATCTTCATAAATACTAAAACTGAACTCCTGGCAAACAGCTGAATACATTGTGGATTTACACGTACCCTAACTGTTTTCTATGCCAATAGATTTGTAACTGTTTATCCAGTCTTGTGATCCAAAAAAAAAAAAACGTAAGCAGCTAATAAAGCTCACTTTTCTAGTTGAATAGTTTGGTAAACAATACAGAAAGGTTATCAACGTGCTGAGCTCCTGGGCAGTGGCTGAACACACTTGTCTTACATGCCAATAGATTTGTATTTGTTCAGCCAGTCTTATGATTCAGATTCTGCTCCCATTCTTTGACTGGACAGTGATGAAGATTTCGCACACTGATAATGACTTTGGCCTCTTCTCTTTTAGGCATGTTCATTCTCCCTATAGGAAACCTTCCCTCAACCAACCTTAACATGTAACAATGTGAAAGGAATAGAGGCTCAAAGAGGCACTCTGATCCTCGATTAACAGCTTATATCCAGCCATTTTGATTGTTTTTTTATACATTTAAAGAGGGCCCTATAGGTTTTTGTTGTCTGGTGCAATGTTGCTCAACCTTTTTTCAGTCAAAGCATCCTTTGAAATTATGAACAGTCCCAGGGCACCCTTTAAAATTATGGACCGTCTTGAGGCACCCCATTCTAAAATGTGAAAAACTATTCTAATAGTTTAATATAACGCAGCAACATCCACACATGTAGGACACCCAACATTAGAGGTGATTTATTCTTCCAAAGCAAGCACACTTTTGCACACTGGTACTGACTAGTATTCCAATGTTTCTCTTCTCCTTCAGTTTTTCTCCATCACAGAGCTAATGTGACCCCAGCACTGGTGGAGAGGGGCAGGGGAGGGTTAAACAAGGATGCTGTGCAGGCAACCAACATCCACTTTATCAACTGATAATGTCATTGGTTGTCAGGACGCCGGCGGCTAAAAGGTCATATAGGTGCACAATGGCTTTGTGTAACTAAAAGGCGGGCTTGTTCCACCCACTGGCTTGTATACAAGTTTTGGGCAGTTTTTAGAAAATTTTTCAAGGCACCCCTGAAGAAACCTCAAGGCACCCCAGGGTGCCTTGGCACCTTGGTTGAGAGGCTGGTCTGGTGGTGGCTGTTTTGTTTTTTTTCTTTTTTAGCCAATTTTTTGGCAAATATTAGAGCCCCCCTCCTCCCCTTAACTGATCATTAGTTACCTAAGGCAGCAGTCAAAAGAGTCCCGAGTCTTCTCATCCCTATTTGTGTACAACTTGAGGCAGGGTCCTCTTTTGGGTCTGCATGTCAAGGCTGTTTGATGTGAACACTTCCTGTACAGTGTCAGGTACTCTCAGGATCCAGAAGAGTAATGTCAGTGCAGGGGGACTGTAGGAAGCGGGCTGGTCCACTAAACCACACAGATGAAGGAATCTTCCCTGCCAACTTTTGTATTTAGGCAGCTGCAGCACACATGGCTTCCTAAACAGTAACTGCATCTGATTGGATGCAGTCGTTTTTCAGTCGACAATTTTCCATCTGGCTCTTTTGACTTCCTTTTTTTTTTTTTCAATAACCTAAAAATTCAATAAAAAATAAATTTAAGTACAAAACAGGGCTTCTGGGCATACCCTTGTTACAACAAAGTAAACAACTACAGCACTCATTGGTGGAACATAATAAAGTTGAGCACACTCAAAGTCATGAAAATAATTAAAATCCTAATGAACTGTATTCAAGAATAAAATCTTATCCAAATTGATATATAAAAGATAGTCTATCTCCTTCCCACCCAGTCACTGCAATAAGAGGCCGTAACAATCCTCCTTCCAATATGGAAACCACTTTTTTTAATATTGATTAAAATAGGGCTTAAAATTTCAAGTCTAGACCTACTAGCCAGGCACAAACCTTACTCTCCACCAGTTGCCCCACCCAACCTTGCCCAGGTCTGCCTCCAACCCCATCCCCAGCCCGTTCCCCAGCCCTGCCCCCAACCATGCCCCTCAAAGCTTATGAAATTACATTTTTCTTTAGAATAAAGAGTCTAAAATATAAAAAACTGCAATTATATCATAGCTTTATTATGTCAATTTAAACATAACAGCAATAGCTTAATAGCAATAGGGTGCAATCAAAATATCACGTTTTACAGCTTTAAGCCTGTAGTAAACATTCTGTATTATTTTTTTTTTTATCTCCTGCATCTTTAAAAAGAGACTTTAGTAACTAAAGTCTCTTTTTAAAAGATGTAAGTTTAGTTTACAGAATTATATATACCGTATTTTTCGCTCCATAAGACGCGCCTAGGTTTTAGAGGAGAAAAACAAGAAAAAAAAAAAATTCTGACCCAATGGACTGCGGACACAGTACAGGAGATGACCAGAGACCGCGGACACAGTACAGGGGATGACCAGAGACCGCGGACACAGTACAGGGGATGACCAGAGACCGCGCGGACACAGTACAGGAGATGACCAGAGACTGCGGTCATAGTACAGGAGATGACCAGAGACTGCAGACACAGTACAGGAGATGACCAGAGACCGCGGACACAGTACAGGAGATGACCAGAGACCGCGGACACAGTACAGGAGATGACCAGAGACCGCGGACACAGTACAGGGGATGACCAGAGACCGCGGACACAGTACAGGGGATGACCAGAGACCGCGGACACAGTACAGGGGATGACCAGAGACCGCGGACACAGTACAGGGGATGACCAGAGACCGCGGACACAGTACAGGGGATGACCAGAGACCGCGGACACAGTACAGGGGATGACCAGAGACCGCGGACACAGTACAGGGGATGACCAGAGACCGCGGACACAGTACAGGGGATGACCAGAGGACCGCGGACACAGTACAGGGGATGACCAGAGACCGCGGACACAGTACAGGAGATGGACCATAGACCGCGGACACAGTACAGGGGATGACCAGAGACCGCGGACACAGTACAGGGGATGACCAGAGACCGCGGACACAGTACAGGGGATGACCAGAGACCGCGGACACAGTACAGGGGATGACCAGAGACCGCGGACACAGTACAGGGGATGACCAGAGACCGCGGACACAGTACAGGGGACGACCAGAGACCGCGGACACAGTACAGGGGACGACCAGAGACCGCGGACACAGTACAGGGGACGACCAGAGACCGCGGACACAGTACAGGGGACGACCAAAGACCGCGGACACAGTACAGGGGACGACCAGAGACCGCGGACACAGTACAGGGGACGACCAAAGACCGCGGACACAGTACAGGGATGACCAGAGACCGCGGACACAGTACAGGGGACGACCAGAGACCGCGGACACAGTACAGGGGACGACCAGAGACCGACGGACACAGTACAGGGGATGACCAGAGACCGCGGACACAGTACAGGGGATGACCAGAGACCGCGGACACAGTACAGGAGATGACCAGATGTACAGCGCTGGAGCGAGGAACAGGTAAGGTCCTGCAGGAGAGAAGAGCTGAGCGGCCGGCCCCGATATTCTGACATGGTGGAGGCAGAAATACTGGACCGGCCGCTTTATATTCGCTCCATAAGACGCACTAACATTTTCCTCCCTTTTTTGGGGGGGAAAAAAGTGCGTCTTATGGAGCGAAAAAAAATACGGTAATATATGCTTCTTTTATATCCTTGTATATAATTATATATTAGGTATGATATTATGTCTCTTTTATATATAATTAGATAAATATATAATATTATGTTTCTGTTATATCCTTCTATATAATTAGATATTAGGTATATTATTATGTCTCTTTTATATAGAATTATATATAATATATATAATTCTATATAAAAGAGACATAATAATATGTCTCATGTCCCCTGCGGCGGGGGAGAGCAGGCCTCCCCTCGAGTCCCCCCGCGGCGGTGGAGAGCGGGTGTCTCCTCTCAGAGGAGGAGAACGGACCTCTCCTACACATGTCCCCTCAGCGGCGCTGCCAGTGTAATGGCAGTGCCGAAGAAGAAGTCGGAAACCCGAACTCGGCTTCACAATAAGGCTTGGAGCACAGGTGGAGCCGCTCCATCTATGCTCGCCACAAAAGGACTTCCCCTCGCATTGGGCGAGCGGCTTTTTCAAGCCCTGGATTAAAATATTTATCATCAGCGTGCAGTGGCATCAGAAGCTCTTTTAATTTTGAAATTGACCTTTGTTGACCTGGGTAATACGAGGGCCACCAGAGGCTCGAATTTCAACTGATTGCTCCTCATTTTGAGCATTGTATGGCCAGCTTAACAGAGTTTCCTCCAGTAGCAGCACTTGTACTATTTTAATGTTCTGTCAGCACTTGGCCTTTTCACACAACAGTAGGCTCCCACAGCAGAGAGAGAGCCCTGAGCGTCTTGTCAGCTCACAGTTATAAAGGAAGGCCTGTGGCAGCTGATACTAGTAATGACTGAATACCAGTTAAGATATGGACCTAGGAATGGAAGCTTATTCCCACTCAAAGCTCTACAAAGTCTCCGAGTTCCATAACCCAGAACTAAATTTCTTACGATTCTGGAAAAACAAAAGTTTGTTTTTTCCACTGCAGTCCTGGATTCCTTACCATGTATATTTGAGAAAGTTAGGTGACACATATGCACACTGTCCACAATCCTGCCATCCAGTACCTCACAATATATAAAAATATATATTTTTGTTCATGGTGACAGCCATATTTGCAGGACTTGCTCTCTGCCCACCATCTTATCTCGCTGATTAGTTCTCTGTAATTGAAATCCATTAGACTGTTTGCAGTCTCACATGATGTAATAATGATACCAATTCACCAAGTCATGTTTGCCTAAATGGTATGTGACCTGATGGAGCTCAGGACAGTATTTATTATTTAAGTCATGGAAGATGTAGATTTTTATTTTAGATAATTATGTGATCTAGTAACACTTTAGTATATTCTGCTGGTTCATATGTAAACCTACAATAAATTATGTGACTTATGCTGTTTTTTTTTTTTTTTTTTCTTTGTTTAACAAGAAGCTTTTCTTTTTGTCAGCTAGAAGAAGTGAGGCAGAGATGAAGGATGAAGAAATGGCCCTGTTTACTAAATTTTACTCCGAGAGTAATGGATGCCAGAAGGTGTCAAATTCCTTGAATATTCCTCGATTCTACTACAGGGTGAGCAAATGGGGGGAAAAAAATACAGCAGAGATGCTTGAAACTGTTAATTTTGTACAGATTAATGTACTATCAATAAAAAATAAAATAAAAACATGTTTGAGATGGATGAATATACAGTGGGTATAGAAATGAATTGCCCCTAAAATAATCACATTTTGCTGCTTTGCAGCCTGAAAGAAGACCAACACCGTTTTTGTTTTATCCAGCTCTAGCTAGTGAAAGTTATAACACCAACATGTCAGAACATTTAAAAAAAACAAAAATCAAAAACGGAATCACTGAGTTGGAAAAAGGATCACCCCCTCCTAAAAATGACTTGTAAACTCAATCAGGTGTAGCTAATCACCTTCTCAACGGCACACAAAGCCATTTGACTTTTCACTGTGATCAGCTGTGGTCATTTTGATTAGCTCAGCATTAAGCGCTTTCCTGGAGCATTTCAGTCCTTGGTAATGCAACTGAAGCTAACAATCAACTATGGGTGGTAAGCCACTGTCAAAAGATCTCTGGGATGAAGTTGTGGACAGACACGAGTCAGGAAGGAGATGGATACAAAAAAAAAAAAAAAAAAGGCTTTTACAATGCTTAGAAGTACAGTGAAGTCTATTATTAAGACGTGGAAGGTATTTGGTACAACACAGACCTTCCCTGGATCAGGACATCGCTCCAGACTGGATGAAAGAGCCAGGAAGAAACTGGTCAGAGAGGCTACCAAGAGGCCGACAGCAACCCTGAAGCTGTTGCAGGAATTTATGACAAGGAGTGGTCATTGTGTGCATATGACAACAATATCACAAATTCTCCACAAATGTGGCTTGTCTGGGAGGGTTGCAAGAAAAAAGCCACTCCTCAAAAAAGGCCACATGCAGTCACAACTGAGTTTTGCCAAAATTCACCTTGAAGATTCTGAGACCACATGGAAAAAGGTGTTATGATCAGATGAGACTAAAATTGAATTATTTGGACTTATGACTAAACAATGACCCAAAGCACACAACAAAAATCACCACACAGTGTTTGAAGGAGAAAAAGGTGAATGTCCTCGCATGGCCTAGTCAGAGCCCAGACTTAAACCCCACTGAAAATCTCTGGAATGACTTAAAGAATGCAGTCCACAAGCGGTTACATTCAAATATAACTGAACTTGAGTAGTTCTGCCAAGAAGAGTGCACAAATATTGCAAAGTTAATAGAGACATACCCCAACAGAGCAAAGGCTGTAATAAATGCAAAAGGTAGTTCAACAAAATACTGACACAAGTGGGTGATCCTTTTTCCAACGCGGGGATTCTGTTTTTGAAGTTTTTTTTTTTTCTGACATGTTGGTGCTATATCATTCACTTGGATGTTAAAAGTTGCAATGAGTAAATACAGCTGGATAAAACAAAAACTGTGTCTGTCTTTATTTCAGGCTGCAAAGCTACAAAATGTTATTTTAAAGGGGGGTGATTCTTTTTTTTTTTTTACCCACTGTATGTAGGTAGTAACTATTTCTTGACCACATACCAACCCCTTTTCACTTCAGTTTAACTGGCAGTTCAACTTACTAGAAGAGTTTGAAGCTCATTTTTCACCATACCAACTATGACATGCTGAGTTGATCTGGAGGTTACAGGTTCTATTTTATTATTCTTTCCACTTGTGTCTGGCTGTTTAAAAAACAATTACAGATTGGGTTCTTGTTCTTTTAACAGAACTTGTGTAATGAGCTATTTGCCAGGTAGTTCTGTTTTTAAAAAGCAATTCTTATTTAGCACAGTACTTGATCAGCCACTGTTTTGCCATGCAGCTACCAGCAGAAGATGAGGTGTTACAGCAGAAGCTACGAGAAGAGTCGCGAGCTGTATTTCTGCAGAGGAAGAGTCGAGAATTGCTAGATAATGAGGAGCTACAGGTGAGAAGTGTTGTCAAGGTTTATTTCCACTTTACAGTGAACCTTTCCTCTTGTGGTATCTGCACTTGCCTTAACAATGGGTTCTTCTGTCTCTGGATCCTAGGCCTAGGCTTTATACAAGGCCTTCAGTTTAACCAAAATATGATTAAACCCTGACCCCTGGCACTAGTCTCAACTCCTGTCAGTCTGGTCACAAACGTTCAGGCATTGGATAGTTACTATGACATGCTCACTTTAAGACATTTTACAAAGTAATAGAAATTACTCTAAGATGGTATTTTTAATACGGAATGGATGTCAACTGTACTGTATCCACTACAAATAATACAACAATAGCAATACTCTGTAAAGTGTATATGTTACATGTACATCAGTAAATATACGTTGGCTTTACCAAGTTTTTATTTCTTTTGCTAAGAATCTCTGGTTTCTTCTGGACAAGCATCAATCACCTCCTATGATTGGTGATGAAGCCATGATTAACTATACCAACTTCCAGACTGTTGGGGAAAAGGCTGGACAAAAATGCAGGTAAGTACCATGATTTTAATAAACGTTTCCTTTCATGCATTTCTTTGCATAACTTGTGCTTGCACACTATATTTTCCCTGGTATTCTATTATATTTTTGAACATTCTATATATCAACGTGTCTTCCTTTCTCATAGACCATTTTTTACTGCAAAAGTATTCAGCAAACTTGTACACAATGATCCATATGGCAGAATTTCCATTATGCAGTTTTTCAACTATGTAATGAGAAAAGGTGAGTTTGAGGGATTTATGGAGGGATGCTGGTCTAATGTGGAAATGAATACTGTTTTAAAGCTTAAAGTAGAACTAAACCCTCCTATCCTTTTATGACCAAGGAAGATACCATCTTAAGGCAGTCATAGATGGATATTTTTTTTTTTTTTTTTTTCAGGCAGCCAGGTGATCAAAAAAAAATGAACTGATTCCCCCATCCACACAATCAAGGTGGATGAAGTAATCCTCCTTGCTGCGCTGTTGAATGCTGACAGTAGGACTCCTCAGAATACACTGATTAGCACTGTAGCACTAATCACTAAAGAGAAGCTGATCTTCTGTCTAGTGGGAACGGATATAGTTAAATCGAAATTTGACTGGTCCCTGCTGAACAGATTGAATATCGATCCATCTATGGCCAGCTTAAACCTTGGTTTGATCTGTATTTTCCATGTTGCTGCACATGTGATCAGTTATGAAATCAGCCATTTATTTGATGGGTTGGCAGTTTTGTTAGGAGCAAAGCACCTGTGACAGTTATCAATAATGTCATTCCTTGAATGTAACTGTTTTGGGAAACTGTTAGGCCTCGTTCACACCTGTGTGCAGAGTTGTCAGGTTTTTCTGCACTTGTTCTGCAAGGGCACAAAGTAAAATATTGATATCCATGTGCCCTGTTCACACCACAGCACTAGTATCACTTGCAGATTTTTTTCTGTGCAGTATTCTGCAGCATGTAGAAAACTCATTGAAATGTACATTAAAACTGATGAAAACGCGTGTTTCTGTAATGAAATCTGTGCATTTTTTACATCCGTTTTTCTGCATGTATGGTGTGAATGAGGCCTTAAATCGAAGGGATTAGTTCCACTTTAAAGCAGAACTAAACCATCCTATCCTTTACAGCCGAGGAGGCTGCCCTATTAGCCTCTGCTTAATATGCACTTGTCATGGTGCAGTATATTTGTTCAGCTATAACTCTAGCCTTTTGATGGTTTGACAGTTTGGTTGATCGCTTGACAGTTACATTCTGCCCATGCCAGGATTGCTAATTGTTTTTCAAAACCTTAAATTTATGAGAGTTTTAGTTCAGCTTAAAGCTTTTTATATAATTTTCTAAATGGCTGTGTAGATTTACTCTAACTGTCAGGAAGATTGGTGTCTATTTCTGGTCAAATGACAGAGAATTCCTCCTATCGTGGACTGCAGCATTATGCAGAGGCCACAAGCCGGACACTGCTGGCTCTACATCATGATCTGTATTTTGTGAATTAAAGTACTTTTACAACAGGCATCACAAAATGACTTCAGTCCAGATTGAATAACAGCTCTATCCAGACTAACAGCCAGACTGTCCCCAGTGCAGGTTTCCCTCTGCTGTGATTGGTTGTTAGGACCATCATTGTCCTAACAACCAATGATCTCACATACGTGCCCCACCTCCAAATCACAGGTGGATGAAAGTGAAACTTCCTCTGTCCAGATCTGCAACCTGCTCTCTCACAGCTCCTGCCCTCTGCTTACATGGTGCTATAAGGCACAGGTACACTCTGATAGGGACAACTGATGCAAGGGGGCACACTGAAAATTGATAGTAATTATTATTGAAAAGCTTTTTATATTGTACATTGCTTATTTTTTGATAGACATAAAATGACTACATACAGTATATACTAGGATCTGAGTCCTAGCACAAGCACAAAATTCAACCTTATCTTGAAGAACATTTTACTGACTGCACACCTTTAAATTCTATATCAGTACCCCTGCTTTACAATTCCCTACAGTATGTTCTCCCAACTCCTCTGTGTGCTTCCCGCTAGGTAAAATACCTCCAGCCCTCAACCAGTGATCTTCATTGTGCAATCCCACTCAGAGCAGCAAAGCCTGTGGTTAGTTCATACTTTGCATACGCATTGCGGCCCCATTTAATGCTATAGAAAAGCTGTACTGGGAGAGACCACTTGAATATGCTATGAGTATGACTTACCGATGGGAGTGAATGGGTCCCTAAATGGCCATATAGGTAGACTTTGTACATACAAGCACTTGTCTTTTTTGAAAGGTAGGGTAGGGACTGGCTAGATGAAATCTCTTTGACACCAAGCTTTGCACAGCTTAATATGTATTACAATGTATGCTAACCCAGATTTCCAATTGTGTATGTTAAATTTGCTGGGCGTGTTATTATTAGGACAAAACAATAGTTTTCCTGCACACACCAGCTAGCCAGGAAAAAAAAGAAAAGAAAATGCTGTCTAACAATTTGTGTTGAAAACAAAGGTTTTATTTGCACAATGGCAGCTGAAAGGCGTTCATTGTGTCCCCACACCAATTCCAGCAAGCTAAACAAAAATGGATACAACCCCAATTTAGAACTAGCTTTTAAAATAAGGCACACATGAAAGCGCTTTCCAAAGATGGAGCTTCAATACATTCAATTATACAGTGTTTCCTGAGATATACGGTCTAAAGAAAAGCTTCCATATTCAACAGACATGGGAGATGTTGCAAAAAATATCTCTCCTCTTAGGCCTCATGCACACTGAGAAGTACAAAAAACGTTTTTGAAACTACAGGAGTTTTTAGAATCAAAAACTTGGTAAAAAGGCGTGCATGAGCTTTCTTAGAATGCATTAACACCAGTCCTATCGGCCAGAGTGCTCGCTATTAGAATGTGTTAACGTGCACTAATGCACCTTTTTCCCACTTTTGAGCATTTTTTTTATCCTCTCCTGAACGGATGGTTTTTTTTTTTTTTTTTGGATTTTTTTTTTTTTTTGTTTTGTTTTTTTTCCCCTGCCTGTAAATTTCACTGCCACTAAACTCCTTAAAAAGCTTATCGTGTGCATGGACACATAGGCTAACATAGAGGGTGGTTACAAGCAAAGTAAAAGATCAAATGGCTGTAGGAGCATCTTCTGTGAGCTGCAGTGTGTATGAGACCTTAGAAACAATAAATCAATGAACTCTTGCCAGCAGTCCGTAATAAAATAGTGCCAAAATTATAAAGGGACAATGACTCCAAACCTTTGTATACCTATTTGGAAGCATCTCACACATTACACTTACTGATATTAATGTGCCACAAACCTAACACCATGCCGCGCTTCCATCTACATTATTTCCGTCATATTCATCCTGTGTTTAAAACTTATAAGACATGCTGGTAGGTTAATTGTCTCCTGTCTAAATTGTCCATAGTATGTGTATGAATGTAAGTTAGAGACCTTAGATTGTACGCCCCTTGAGGGTTAGGGACTGATGTGAATGCACAATATATGTGAAGCGTTGCGTAAATTGATGGCACTATATAAGTACCTGTAATAAATAATACTATATAAACTAAATTCTACATAAACATTGTTCTTTCAAAAAAAAAGTCCCATCAATTCACTTAGTCCTACAAAAAATCATCCTGTGACGAATTTGTGAATATGCCATCCAAGCATTCAAATCTCCCAAAATTTGTGCACCATCACCAATACGCCCGATGTGCTCTCACCTGGAGCTTTTGACCTCACATATGCAATGTTTGGTCAAATATTGCGTGTGTCCCATTTTTAAATGGACTAAGTAGAAGTGTATCCTGAAGTATCTTTCTCCTTCTGGGTCAATGGTAAACCATCTCCTCCTTAGAAACTGTTGTTTTTCTGAGGTGCTCTGTAAAGTATACTGGAGGGACCCGGACACAGGTTTACTCATATTCTCCCAAGGAGGGGAAGCACTGAACAGGAAAGCAGAGAATAGGAAATAAAATGAATGGAGTACAAAAAAAAAGGGGGGGGGGGGGGGGGGGAGAAGGGGGAAATTTGTGATGTGCAATCTCCTCCATGTACACCTTTCTTTAAAACCTAGTTATAAATTGGAGTAGTAGCCATTTTTGTTTAGGTTATTACATGGCAATTGTTTGTTGCAAATTTGAAATTTTAATGCGCAGTATCCTTTCTGACAGTGTGGCTACACCAGACAAGGATAGGGTTAAGCTTGTATGATGTGGCTGGACAAGGCTACCTCCGAGAGTCAGTAAGTACCTGCTTGTGTATTTATATTTTTGTTTTATGTACTTCTGTGTCATTGGAAGACTTTGTGAATGAAAACATTTTTGTGTTTGTACTTTTTACTAGTGATGTGGTTATCAAAGAGTTGTAAAGCGATTTGCTTGTTTTCATTCTCTGGCAGGACTTGGAGAATTACATCCTTGAGCTTATTCCCACTCTGCCTCAGTTAGACGGTTTGGAGAAATCTTTTTATTCTTTCTATGTTTGTACAGCTGTCCGAAAGTTCTTTTTCTTTCTTGATCCTCTGAGGACAGGTAATCGAAACTATACAAATGATTTTTGTTTTTTTTCATCTTCCAGTACAATGTGTGTGTGTGTGTGTGTGTGTGTGTGTGTGTATGTATAATATGTGTGTGTGTATATACAGTTGTGTTCAAAATAATAGCAATCAGACATCACTAACTTGATCAATCACTGTTTTTGGTAGAAATTATATTTCTACATGGCAAATAATTTACTAGCAGGTGTAGTAGAGTAATAGAAATCCAACAGACCCAACAGTCATGACATGCATGCTGCTGATTCTGTGTAATTGAATCACTAATTGAAAGGGGCATGTTCAAAATAATAGCAGTGTGGAGTTCTATTAGTGAGCTCATTCATTCTTTGAAAAACAGGAGGCAATTATTGCCCTTATTTAAGGAAGGAAGGCAGCAAATGTTGTACATGCTGGTTACAGTGCATTTCTCTGAAATTCTGAGGAAAATGGGTCGTTCCAGACATTGTTCAGAAGAACAGCGTACCTTGATTAAAAAGTTGATTGGAGAGGGGAAAACATATAAAGAAGTGCAGAAAATGATAGGCTGATCAGCTAAAATGATCGCAAATGCTTTAAAATGGCAACCAAAACCTGAAAGACGTGGAAGAAAGCGAAAAAAAAACTACCATTCGAATGGATATAGAATAGCCAAAATGGCAAGGACTCAGCCAACAATCAGCTCCAGGAAGATCAAAGAAGGTGTAAAGTTACCTGTGAGTACTGTTACAATTAGAAGACACTTATGTGAAGCCAAGCTATCTGCAAGAAGCCCCCGCAAAGTCCCACTGTTGAAAAAAAGACATGTGCTGAAGAGGTTACAATTTGCCAAAGAGCACATTGACTGGCCTAAAGAGAAATGGCGCAACATTTTGTGGACTGATGAAAGTAAGATTGTTCTTTCTGGGTCTAGTGGCCGGAGACAGTTTGTCAGACGACCCCCAAACACTGAATTCAAGCCACAGTACACTGTGAAGACAGTGAAGCATGGTTGCGCAAGCATCATGATATGGGGATGTTTCTCATACTACGGTGTTGGGCCTATTTATTGCATACCAGGGATCATGGATCAGTTTGAATACATCAGAATACTTGAAGAGGTCATGCTGCCTTATGCTGAAGAGGAAATGCCCTTGAAATGGGTGTTCCAACAAGACAACGACCCCAAACACACCAGTAAACGTGCAACATCTTGGTTCCAGACCAACAAGATTGACGTTATGGAGTGGCCAGCCCAATCCCTGGATCTTAATCCAATAGAAAACTTGTGGGGTGACATCAAAAATGCAGTTTCTGAGGCAAAACAAAGAAATGGAGAAGAACTGTGGAATGTAGTTCAATCATCCTGGGCTGGAATACCTGTTCACAGGTGCCAGAAGTTGGTTGACTCCATGCAACACAGATGTACAGCAGTTCTCAGAAACAGTGCTTATACAACTAAATATTAATTAAGTGATTCAAAGGAAAGCAAAATCTTCAAACATTTTTCAGTTTATATAGTGAATGTTTGAGTTTGTAAAGAAGAATACAAACACTGCTATTTTTTGAACAGTCTAATATTCACTTTTTTTCTTCAAATTTTTTAGAGGAACAACACAAATTTGATCTATTTTTCTTCATGTTTTGATTTGGAATAGAATGTGTAGTGTTCCCAATGCATTTGTGTGTATGGAAATAAAAACTATTAGAAGTATTTTAAGCTTTATTCACTTTTTTCAACACACTGCTATTATTTTGAACACAACTGTATGTGTGTGTGTGTATTTGTGTGTTTTGTATAATAAAAAAATAAAAACCCAGTGGTGGTCAAATACCACCAAAGGAAAACTATTTGTGTGGGAAAAAATTAACCACGCAAATACCAGTTATTGTAGCGCAGTGAATAGCAAAATAATGACCTGGTCATGAAGGAGGTAGAACCTTCCAGAGCTTAGGTGGTTAAAATTTGTTTACAGTAGTTTCATTGTTGCTTTCAGATTATCTATATCTGAAAAAATTAAACCTGTTACATACTAATTAATAAGCTTTTGTGTTTTCTGTATTTCTTTTCAGGAAAGATAAAAATACAAGATATATTAGCCTGTAGCTTTTTGGATGATTTACTGGAGGTATGTACTAATATCTTACTATCTGTTTGCAGTACATAATGCACGATAGCTGGTGAATCTAATAATTTGGTGCAAGAGCCACATTGTTTTGACAATTTCGGTTCCCACACATTTTCTCCCTGCAGGGAATGACTGAGGGTGGAAGTAAAGGAGGAGAATAATATTTTCAAAATTTTAAATGCTATAGTCCTTTGGGGCTTTGCAAATCTTGAATGCTGTAGGGCGCTTCCTCTATCATTCCTACAGGAAAGTAATATAGCAGAGCATATGCCTAAGTTCATGTCACACTACCGATTTCTGCTGCCGATGAGGTATCTCCAGCAGCACCACTGTAAGTTTTTAGATATCTGGACACACCTCCAGGGATTGAGTTTGCTGTTGCACCACTCACCCGATGCTTTACAGTACTGTTTACTCAGATTTTTATATTCAGATATAAAAGTAATCACTAGCTTGCCATTGGTTACTTTTTGTATCTGAACATAAAAATGTGAGTGAATAGTGCTGTGTAAAGGACAGAAGAGGTGATCATTATAGCGACATTTTATTTCCCAAGTAGTCTTCCAGGACAGCCCACGAGACATAGAGCTCCCACCACGGGACAGGAAACGCAGTACCCCACAGAGAATAAGAGGCGGTCCTCCAGGCCCCAGCCTCAGTTATTAGTGTTTCCTCTGGATGGGGGTAAACTGTTTCCCTGGAACCATGTGGGAAAAGTTCTCTCCCCGGGGCTGGTTGGAAGCTCGGTTGGGGGGGGGGGGGGGGGGGGGGGGGGTTTTATTTCTTGGGCCAGAGCTGCGATGGCTTCCCTTTTGACCAGTAGTCCCCTGTGGAGGAGGATGGGTGCAGGGCGGACTATCGGCGGCCTTACCTAATGTTTTGGAGACCGCATCTTGGACTCAGTGGTTCCTGTGGGGTTTGCTCTGTTGGTTCAGGGTGTGCCCAGCTCACTGTATTGTTATGTGTGAGTCTATTAATGTTCTGAAATCAGACACTTCACTGTCATCCGCAGGGCGTGTTGTCTAGTCAGGCGGTGCACCAGGATGCAACCCCCATAGAGAGCCACTGATTTCTGTGTCCCGCTCTTGCCCGAGCTTCCTCCTATTGTGGTGGGGATGGGGTGGGGCCTCTGCGTTCCACGCTGGCTCTGAAAAACTGCAGTGGCATCACTTCCGGCGCCAGGGGACGTCATCACCGGGCACTGGGGACGCCGGTTCCGATTCCCATGTAAGGGTGGACTGTGTGGGCTGCTGGTGCGCTGGTCTTCTTCGGCTACAGCAGAGGCTGCAATGGAGAGACCTGTGGCTTTGGATCCTCCTGCAGCTGCAATTCTGGTGGTTGATTCCGGGCAAGCAAGCACCAGCTCCTCACGGGTAAAAGCAACGTGGGGGGGGGGGGGGGGGGGGGGGCGCGGTGATTCCGCCTCCAAGGCTCTGTTGTGTGTGTTGCCCTTTACGGGAGAATAACCTGTTTGGTCCCAGTTTGCAGGAGGCGTTCGAGGGCACGGCTGATAAAAATAAGGCCTTCCCAGAAAAGAACGCCACGGAAATGTTGGGCAGGCAACAAAGGAAACGGTAAATGAGGAATCTTGTTTAATCCTCCTCAACCCTCCTCTAAAACCCAGTGACTCCTTTCTCCCTGTGGGGGGAAGATTGAAGGCCTTCCTCCCAGCTTGGGAGACTATCACCTCCAGTCCATCTATCCTTCTTCCGATAAGTCAGGGTTACAGGCTGGAGTTTGATACCTTGCCCCCCAAAGATTCTTGATCATGAATCTTCCTCGGGATCGGGAGAAAGCAAGTGCATTGTGCTTGCAAATAGGCGAGATGGTAGATCAGAGGGTTTTAGTCCCAGTTCCAAAGGAAGAAAGGGGTCAAGGTTATTATTCTCAAGTTTTGGTGGTGAAAAAACCCTCAAGCAAATTTTGACCCCGAATTTGCGACCACTCAACAATTCAATAAAGTACAAACATTTTCATATAGAGTCAACATATTCTCTCAGGAGCATCCTGCGGCAGGGTTGTTGTTTTATGGTGACCCTAGATATGAGGGATGCATACCTTCATGTACCCATTCATCCCTCTTACCAAAAGTACCTGAGATTGGCTATCAGGTTGAAGGAGAAGGTTCTGCACTAGCAGTGCAGAGAACTCCCTTTTGGACTGTCTTCAGCCTCACAGATTTTTTCCAAAGTCCTGGGGGAAGCTCTAGCTCCACTGAGATGAAGGGGCATTTTGATGGATGGATCTAAAGTTTACCCAGAATCACCTTCAGGCACTGGGTTGGGTGATCAATTGGGAAAAATCGAATCTGGAGCCATGTTAGTCGATAAGATTCTTAGGGTATGTCATAGACTCACTCAACAGTTCAAAAAGTATTTCTCCCTGCAGACAAACTAAACAAAGTAACATGCTGGGTAGTGCAGCTGCAATCAAATCTTCCGGTTTCCCTGAGGGAGATTTCGGCAGTGTTAGGTCTCATGACAGCGTGCTTTCCAGCAGTTCCTTGGGCCCGTTTTCACCAAAGGCCTCTACAGCATTTTTTGCTCAGAGCCTGGGATGGGTCAAGAGATACCCTAGACCTCAGAGTTCTCCTTCCGGGAAGCATCAAGCAGTCTCTATGGTGGTGGAGAACGGAGGCACGTCTCTCCAAAGGGCTAGAGTGGATCTGGCCAGATTACCGAAGGGTAATGACAGATGCCTCCTCATGGGGTTGGGGGGCACACATACAAGAAAGGTTGACCCAGGGCCAGTGGTCAAGTGACGAGGCCAGAATCTCCTCAAACCAAAGGGAACTTTTGGCTGTGGAAAAGGCAGTGATAAATTTCCAGGAGCAATTGAAGGGTCAGCATTTGCAAATCCTCTCAGACAACAGTAGGACTGTGGCTTATATCAACAAACGGAGCAACCAGAAGTCTGCGACTGCAGGCAATTGCGAAGAGGATATTGATGCGAGCGGAGGTCAATCTAGCATCAATGTCAGCCTTACACCTGAAGGGTTCCCAGAACATAGTGGCTGATTTTCTCAGTCGTCAGACGGTACTCCAGGGGGAATGGTCTCTGGCCGAAGAAGTTTTCTCTTGGCTCTCAGATATGTGGGGCCAACTGGAGATAGACCTGTTTTGCCTCTCAGGTGAATGCGAAGCTTCAGAGATTTTTTCTCCATGAATCCAGGGGATGCAGCAGTGGTCTTAGATGCTTTGGCAAATACATGGTCCTACAGTCTAGCTTATGCTTTTCCCCCTTTCAGATTAATCCCAGCAGTAATACGAAATTTCAGCTGGAGAAGTTGGATCTCATCCTGATAGTGTCACATTGGCCAAAACGTCCTTGGTTTGCCCTTATGAAATCCCTAGCAGTTTGCCCTCCTGTGTTTCTCCCAAAGAGAGGGAGGATCTTTTGTCACTGGGACTGGTTCGTTGTCCAGGCTTAGACATGTTCAACCTCTCAGCGTGGTACCTGAGGAGCATTTGTTAAAATAGGAAGGTTTTTTGGATAGGGTAGTCCAAACATTGGTCAGCGATCGTAAGCCGGTTACTAGAGCCATCTATTTTAAGATTCGTAAGAAATTTAATTTATGGATGATGGAGAAAGGGCATTCAGAAACTTCCATTCAGACAATCTTAGATTTCTTTCAGAAAGGAGTAGACAAGGGTCTATCTCTCAGCACCATAAAAGTACAGGCAGCAGCCATGGGAACACTTCTAAAAATTTCCCTCCTGGGAGATACAATTTCCCGCTTCTTTAAGTCGGTGGCTATGATGAGACCGGTGCCTTCGAAGTCCTGCTCTTCTTGGGATCTTTCGTTAGTTTTACAGGTGATGACATCCAGTCCGTTTGAACCTTTGACGGAAGCTTCCATTAAACTGCTTACTTGGAAGACAGTTTTTCTGATGGTCATCACTATGGCTCGTAGAATAAGTGAGCAGCAAGCTCTGTCAATCAGAGAACCCTTTTCGCTGGTTTTTGATGGCAGGATTATTCTCGAAACAGACCCAGGTTTTTTACCGAAGGTAGCCGTGACGTTTCACAGGTCACAAGACATTGTGCTACCCTCCTTCTGTGCCTCTAATGAAAAGGAAGAGAATTTCAGTCGGCTGGATGTAAGGATCTGTATCCAAACAATTCAGAAGATCTGATTTTCAGATCACTAACCCAAATATGGATGGATCAAGCAAACCATTTCTTGCTGCTAACAAACCAAGGGGCTATCATGCTTTTCATTAATGCACATTCTACTAGGTCCTTATCCATGTCCTGGGCAGAGAGAGCTGGTGCTGCCTGGATCAAATTTGCAAGGCGGCTACTTGGTCGATCTTCTTGACATTCATTAAGCACTACCAGGTTGATCTCCTGAACAGTCAAGAGCAAACATTTGGGCATAAGGTCCTCCAAGTGGTGGTCCCACTCTAGGTTGGTAAGTTCTTGCGTATCGTCTCGTGAGCTGTCCTGGAAGACGACTTGGGAAAACCGGAGTTGGACTTACCGGTAACTCTATTTCAAGGAGTTTTCCAGGACAGCTAGATTCCCGCTCGATGCATTATGTTATGCTGTGTTGTGTTATGTTTTTCGGGGCCGTCCTTCGGTACTTGTGGTTTACTGAGGCTGGAAGCTGGAGCCTGGAGGACCGCCTTTTATTCTCTGTGGGGTAACGTGTTTCCTGTCCTGTGGGAGGAGCTCTACGTCTCGTGGGCTGTCCTGGAAGACTCCTGTAAATAGAGTTACCGGTAAGTCTAACTCCGTTTTTTTTTGTGTGCATATAAGTATCTCCAGCTGATGGAATCATAGAGCTGAAACTGACACCTTTCTAATGGGTATTGTTTGGCAAAATGCTGCAAAATCACACTTGTTAAAGAGTAAAAATTGAGTGACACGATGCTGTAGAAAAAATTGTGTGGTATCCTAATGATCCTAGTGTGGACCACTAGTATGATATTGCCTAAATCTAGAGCAGTGGAAAGCAGTATGTATTGTTGATGGGTCATGGTAATGAGATCTAGTTGCTAAATTTTGCCTTACCTTCTATATGAAGTATTGATTTTTGAAAGCTCTGTGATAACTCCACTTTTTGCTGCTCTATTTTTTTTTAGCTGCGAGATGAAGAACTTTCTAAAGAAAGTCAGGAGTCCAATTGGTTTTCTGCTCCTTCTGCATTAAGAGTCTATGGTAAATTAATTTCAGTTTTCCCCTTACCTGAAGTGGATTGGTACTGATAACTGACCTGCCTAAGTTGGTTATTTACGTTCACTCTGATTATATGGAAATGGTATTAAATCGCCCCTTCAAACCTCTGCATCTGCTGTACAGTTTTAGTTTACAGTTTTTTTATCATCTCAGTACTTATATCTTTATATTAATAGTCATATCTAAAACCTAGAATGATTTAATGTATTGTCATGTATTAATATTATTATTATACAGTATTTAGTGCCAAAAGGTTTGCTCAGCGCTGTACATTATAGTGGGGGACAGAACATGGGACAATACAGTAACAAAACAATACACGAGGGGTTCGAGGGCCCTGCTCTTTCGAGCATACAATCTAGGAGGGAGGGGATAGTGGTACAGGAGGAAGTGGCTATGGGGGATGGAGTGGTAGGAGGAGTGGAGGAGATCGACTGTTAAGTGAGGGTGGGGTAGGCTTCCCTGAAGAGATGGGTTTTCAGGGTGCGCCTAAAGGTGAGGAGGGTAGGTGACAGTCTGATGGATTGGGGTAGTGAGTTCCAGAGGATGGGGGAAGTCCTGGAGAAGTCCTGCTGTAGGAGGTCTTGTGAGGAGCGAAGGGTGAAGGAGCGTTGGGATAGATAGGAGGAGAGCCAGGAGAGAGCGGAGTCTCTGATGCCAAGGGAGTGTAGTTTATGAAGGAGGAGGGGGTGGTCAACTGTGTCGACTGTGATTTTGAGTAGGGCGGTTTCGGTGGAGTGTAGGGGATGGAAGCAAGACTGTAGTGGACCGAGGAGGTTGTTGTGAATGAGGTGGGAGCTTAGGCGATTGTAGACCAAGCGCTCAAGGAGCTTGGATGTAAATGGCAGCAGGGAGATGGGTCTAAGGTTGTTCAGGCCGGTGGGGTCCAGGGATGGTTTTTTTGAGTATGGGGGTGATGTGCACCTGCTTTAGGTGGTAGGGGAATGCACCAGTAGAGAGGGAGAGATTGAAGATGTGGGTGAGGGAGCGTAGGATGGAGGAGGAGGGTGACTGGAGGAGTTGTGTGGGGACAGGGTCAAGGGGGCAAGTGGTGAGGCGGGCGTGTCAGGTGTGGTGGGGGGCAGGACAGATGCGAGGTCAGAGGAGGGGAGAGTTGATGGGGTTATAGTGTGATGGAGGCTAGGTGGGGAGGTAGATTGAACATTGGCGATGTCCTTACGGATTGCGTCCATCTTATTTTGGAAGTGATTGGCAATCTCGTGGGCGGTGAGTGAGGTACTGGGTGGTGGGGGGGGGGGGGGAGAGTAGGGAGTTGAAAGTGGAGAAGAGCCGGCGAGGACAGGTATTAGAGCTTATGGGTCCTTGGATGTAGTGGCTTTGTTAGTTTCCCTTTTTTCAGGCATTTTTTCCCGTTTTATTTTTACATAGTGATCCTGACAGTAACACACTTCCTGTCCTGGGCTGACAGCACTTACTGTAGTGTATCTGTGAAGGAGCAGCATTGTCACCCTAGAATGTTTGCTACTGATTTGGACTACAAACATCTTGCCCTCTCCTCATCTCCATCAAATAATGGGGAGGTGTTTGGCAGTTCACAGAAGGTTGGAAAGGCTAATAACAATGTTTTGAGATTTCAGTTCAGTGTAAAGGAAGTTAGAAGCACATTGGATTTTTAGTAGGTTTAACATGTACAGTATTTTTTATGTACTTACAGAATTAGCCTGAAAAAGGAAATCTATGCAGCCACTACATTTTAGGACTTATATGCTGCAATATATCACATTTTTGTTCTTTAGTTTAATATACTTTAACTGCGCTCAACCACTGAGTGATAATAACCAATGACATGTCCAGTGCTGTGGTTTCCCATATGTGTGCAATGTTTAAGAATGATTGCTTTATTGATTGTTTGTTTTTTGTAGTATGGTGACAGAATGTAAGTCTTGTAGCTGATTTTTACTGACTTATGTTCTACTTAGGTCAATATCTTAATCTGGATAAAGATCATAATGGAATGCTAAGCAAGGAAGAACTGTCCCGTTATGGTACTGGAACCTTGACCAGTGTATTCTTAGATCGAGTCTTCCAGGAATGTCTGACATATGATGGGGAGATGGTAAGGCTTGTACATCATAATTTGTTACCTAATCAAATCTTCTGTCTACTATGTTACATTTAAAGAATTATAAATCAAATACTGTAAATCAGAGTCAGATTATCTAATAACGCTGCACTTGGTACAATAACTTTGTGCTAAGTTGTACCTGGTAAAGCCTGTAGAGCAGGGGTCTGAAAACTGCAGCCCGCGGGCTGAATATGGCACTTTGCTTGCCTTTATCCAGCCTTTGGGGCGCTATCCCTTCTACTGACATCAAAGACAGGGTACTATTCCTCCCACTGACACCAACAATGGAACACTATTACTCCCACTGACTCCAATGATCGTGATACTATTTCTTTATCATACATCACGGGACACAGAACAGGCTATTCATGACTATGTGGGTTATAGGTGAATGGACCAATCAGAGAGGAGGTCCTCCATATATACGTCATCCTGAAAAAAGCAAACTAATGCAGCTATGGAATCTAAGAACTGGTGCGCTGCAATATATCACATATTTCCTTTAACCACTTTGCACCCTTATGATGTACAGGTACTCAGTTTTAAGTTGCTGTACTGGGATTATGGCTGCAGGTCTCTGGTGCACTGACAGGGGAGGAAGGTACATCTATATACCCGACTCCCATCTGTGATGTAAGAAACCGGAAGGAACATGGATTTTGTCACTTCCAGTATCAGTTTACAAGCCATTACTGACTTTTAAAGTATCTGATCAAACCAGTTTCAGTTTGATCAGATGCTTTTGAGGGCAGAGAAGAGATATGGGGTCTCACAGACCCCAGATCTCTCAGTAAAGAGATACTGTCAGTGCCCATGCTATCACAAAGGTTGAACAGTAATAAAGTTGCTTTAAAAAAAAAAAAAAAAAAAAGCTTAAATGTGTTCAAGCGCACATGCAAACGTTTTACACAGCTCCCGCACACATATGTAAATAGCAATTGCACCACACATGTGAGGTATTTCCGCAAATGCCAGAGAGAGCGCAATAATTCTAGCACCAAACCTTATGTAACTCTAAACTGGTAACCTGTAAAGGCTTTTAAGGCATAGCCTTCGGAGATTTTTAGGTGTCGTAGTTTATCACCATTCCACGGTGCATGCAGTTTTAAAGCATGATATGTCATCTTTTTACTTGGCATAACATCATCTTTAATATTTTATTTAAAAATTAGGTCTTATATTGTGTTTTATGTGCACAAAAATTCATTAAAGTGTTTTTTTGTTTTGTTTTTTTTCCCTAAAAAATTGAGTTTGTTAAATGACTGTTCAAATATCATGCAGCGTAAACACAATTGCAACAATCACTATTTTTATTCTCCCAGGGTACTGTTTAAAAAAAAAAAAAAAAATATATATATATATATATATATATATATATATATATATATATATATATTATAAAATGCAGATTTTAAGGCTCCATGCACAATGGATTAAAAATTGCTGCTTCTACAGGAGATTTGCCTCCGTGTTATCCTATGTGTCCATGCACATTAGGACGATTAGAGGCAGGAAAAAAAAAAACCCTTCTGGTTTGAGTTTTTGATTGGAGCTTTCTGGCAGAAAAAATGATAAACTCTCCTAAACTGCGTACAAAACACTCTATATCAGTGTTTTTTTTTCTACCAAGGGAACTGGTGTTTTTTTTGTTTTGTTCTAAGCCCAGTGTGCATGGTGCCTTACGTGTATGTAGAAATGTCAGAATTGGCCCAGTTTTGAAGTGATTAGGAAAGAATGCATTGTTCTCTGTTATGTTGGATCTTTGCAATCAATTGTATTACTTTTACTTTCTGTTTTCAGGATTACAAGACATACTTAGATTTTGTCTTAGCTTTGGAGAACAGGAAGGAGCCAGCAGCCCTGCAGTACATATTCAAACTTCTTGACATCGAGAACAAAGGCTACCTGAACGTCTTTTCTCTTAACTACTTTTTTTCAGAGTATGTCCTGGTTTGGTTGTGTTGTAGTTATCATGGAGAGTCACTTTCTCTGAACAGTTTGCCTAACAGTTCTGTTTTTGTGCGTTGAAACCATCCAGCAAGCAGGATGTAATTTTCATCTTTCTGCTGCACATCAATGTACAATCACCGTTTTTACAGTGATAGTGTTCCCCAAAATATTTTTTACTCTTGTTATGTTTTTCCATGCTTTCAGAATCCAGTTATGGAAGTACAGAATTCCCCTTTTAAACTCCATCACCAAACTCACCTATTAAATATAACTTAATCTTATTTCAAAATCAGCATTTTTAAATCTGCACCTTTCATTAAAACATTGTCTGGTGATCCTGACATGGAGGTCCTTGTTTCGGCACTTCCTTCCTGTTCTAGAATGGCAATGCTATGTCATTGTGTATCAAGTGTGCTTATGTGTTGTCACCCTGCCACATGGGCTCTAGAGAAGAAGTTACCATTTCGACACACATAACACAGGTGTGGTTGTCTGTTGTCCCCATCAGGAAATCTGCCATGAGAAATTCTATGCAACAATCACTGGAGTACAGTAAGGCCTTGTTCACACCATAAGTTTCAGACTGATGGAAACTGATGCGCAGATTTCACTTGCAGAGACATCAGTTTTCATGCGCCTTGCAATGAGTTTTATACATGTTGCAGATTCCTGTGCAGAAAAAAATCGGCAGATGATACTAGTGTTGTGGTGTGAACAGGGCACATAGAGAACAATTGATTTTGTTGTGCCCTTGCAAAACGCATGCAGAAAAACTGATGTATCTGCACCATGGTGTGAACGAGCCCTTAAACAGGAAGTGGTTAGAAATGGCCTGCAAGGACATCAGCACAACTGAAATGGAACAAAGTATGAAAGAGGTGGAAACAAGTATGTCCTGCTTTGGTCTGACATGTAAACCTTTTCATGAGATGAATATTATAGCACATTTCCTCTGCTAAGCAGGAAGCAAAGCTTGTTTATGGAGAAAGTTACATGTTTATGTATCATTTGACAATCTCTTTAAGGGCTCGATCACATGGGGCTCTTTCCTGTGGGGCCCATGCAGGTTCGTGTTTTCCTAGCATGGGGATACGCGGGTGTTACGTGCATCCCTGTGCCGGCATAACATTCGTTACTGTTGGGACAGGCACATCTGCTGTGCCCTAATATGACATGCAAGTGAGTGCGGGTCCCCGGAGCACCTTGTATGTGTTCAGGGATCATCAACCGCATTTCTCTGAACGGACACGGTCCCTTCAGCCGTGTGTCTCAATAGAAATGAAAGAGAGATGCAGGCATGGGGATACCTGCAACAACTGTGCATCCTGTGCTGATAAAACACGGATCTGCACGGGGCCACAATAGAGCATCCCATGTAAACAAGCCCTAAAAGTGCAATTTATTCATTTTCTTCTGTTGCTGTCTTTCAATCAGGCAATTCAAGAACAAATGAAGATCCATGGTCAGGATCCAGTTTCTTTTCAGGATGTAAAGGTGAAGTTCCCAGTATTTGTTCAAATGTTTCATTCATTTGACCCTTTAATAACATGCAACGAATCTGAGGTGAAACTACCCCTGGTAACATATAAAAGGCATCACCTGCAGGTTAGGTAAATGTTCTTCCTCAGCACATGGGTTCCCTAAATCCTATGGAGCTCTGGTACACAAATACCAGCCAGCTTTCTTGTCAAAGAACCTTGGCCCTCCCATTTTGATATTGCCTAATAACTGCAATGCAAGGTTAGGCTAGCAATGCTTTTTAAGTAGGGGTTTACTTACTTTTTCACTTCACAGGTTTTCTTGAAATAGCTCCGTAAAAATTGTGAAGAATTGTTTACCTGGTTTGATCAGGTCTTGTATGGTAAATAGAAAACATCTAGAAAAAAAAATCTATTTTAGACCTTGTTGACATTGAAAACATAAATGTGCTTATGCTACTACTTTTATCATCCCCAAAAAAGCCTTTACCACTTGTGAGCCATTCAGGTGTTTTTACTTCATATTATGATATTTGATCAAATATATTTATAATGAAGAAGCACTAGATCTATTGCAGATGTAAGAGTCTACTTCCAAGAGATACAGAAATATAAGATCTAATCCTTATTTTCTGCGTTGTATATGCAGCAATCTAATGCAGACAGTTTGAGGCCTAACACCTTTAAAGCTGTACTCCCACCGCAAGATAAGCATATTGGGAGTTCTAGCTTTTGGTCTCTGCATGCCTTTTAATGACATTGACTACTTGGAGCCAGCGACAGTCAAGAACCTAGCATTTTCAGGAAGGGCACTCTTCTTCACCATATTTTACTCTTTAATTCTCATATGAGATCTTCTTTATCACCAGGGGACAGTTAAAGTTGCTCTACAGGCTAAAAGTTGTTTTTTTTTTACCTTAATGCATTCCTTCTGCATGTATCCTCGCCCTTTATATTTACCTAAACCCAATCTCGATCCAGCTCTGTGCATGACAGCAGAGGCTTTTCAGCTCTCTCCTTCCTCATTGCCTAAGAGACCACAGCAGGAGCCATTGGCTTCCTCTGTCAATCACAGCCAGTGAGGAGGGGCTGAGCCATGCTGTGTGCGTCTATGGACACGCATAACCGACTTGGGAGCAAGCCTGTTTTTTTTTTTTTCTTCATACATACACAAACACTGCTCAAGAAAAATTAAAGGAACACTTTGAAAACACATCAGATCTCAGTGGGGAAAAATATCATGGTGGATATCTATACTGATATGGACTGGGTAATGTGTTAGGAACATAAGGATGCCCCATTGTTTGATGGAAATGAAAATTATCAACCTACAGAGGACTGAATTCAAAGACACCCTGGGAATCAAAGTGAAAAAAAATGATGCAGCAGGCTCGTCCATTTTGCTGAAATTTAATTGCAGCAACTCAAAATGGTTACTTAGGAGCTTGTATGGCCCCCATGTGCTTGTATGCATGCCTGACAAAGTCGGGGCATGCTCCTAATGAGACAATGGATGGTTTCCTGGTGTATTTCTTCCCAGATCTGGACCAGGGCATCAGTGAGCTCCTGGACAGTCTGAGGTGCAACCTGGTGGTGTCGGATGGACTGAAACATGATATCCCAGAGGTGTTCTATTGGATTTAGGTCAGGTGAGCGTGGGGGCCATTCAATGGTATCAATTCCTTTATCCTCCAGGAATTGCCTGCATACTCTCGCCACATGAAGCCGGGCATTGTCGTGCACCAGGAGGAACCCAGGACCCACTGCACCAGCGTAGGGTCTGACAATGGGTCCAAGGATTTCATCCCCATACCCAATGGCAGTCAGGGTGCCTTTGTCTAGCCTGTAGAGGTCTGTGCATCCCTCCATGGGTATGCCTCCCCAGACCATCACTGACCAACCACCAAAAATGGTCATGCTGAATGATGTTACAGGCAGTATAATGTTCTTCATAGCTTCTCCAGACCCTTTAACGTCTGTCACATGTGCCCAGAGTGGACCTGCTCTCACATCTGTGAAAAGCACAGGGGGCCAGTGATAGACCTGCCAATTCTGGTGATCAATGGCAAATGCCAATCGAGCTCTATGGTGCCGGGCAGTGAGCACAGGGCCCACTAGTCAGGCCACCCTCATGAAGTCTGTTTCTGATTGTTTGGTCAGAGACATTCACACCAGTGGTTTGCTGGTGATCATTTTGTAGGACTCTAGCAGTGCTCATCCTGTTCCTCCGTGCACAAAGGAGCAGATACCGGTCCTGCTGATGGGTTAAGGACCTTTCACGGCCCTGTCCAGCTCTCCTAGAGTAACTGTCTCCTGGAATCTCTTCCATGCTCTTGAGACTGTGTTGGGAGACACAGCAAACCTTCTGTCAATGGCACGTATTGATGTGCCATCCTGGAGGAGTTGGACTGCCTGTGCAAACTCTGTAGGGTCCAGGTATCACCTCATGCTACCAGTAGTGACACTGACCCTAGCCAAATGCAAAGCTAGTGAAAAACAGGAAAGATGAGTAGGGAAAAAATGTCAGTGGCCTCGACCCCCAAAACAGGAATGGTTTTACAGGTGGTCTCATTGTTGCCCATCTAGTGCACCTGTTGTTAATTTCATTAACACCAAAGCAGCTGAAACTGACTAACAACCCCCTCTGCTACTTAACTGACCAGATCAATATCCCCGGAGTTTAATTGACTTGATGCTATACTCTGCATAAGAATATACACTGCTCAAAAAAAATTAACGGAACACTTTTTAATCAATCAGTTTGATCCTCTGTTGGGCTAGATGCAATCAGTTGCAATTGTTTTTCTCCATACATTTCACACTTCCTCCAAAAGCATCACGTGGTAGTTTGATTTGTACATGGGATACTTAGGTAAATGATGAAACACTCATTGGGAAAAGGGGGCCATGTTTTGAAGAGCTTTCAGTGCTGCACTTAGAAAATATCAATGTATTATCTTTGTGTCCCTTTTAGGATGAAATCTTTGACATGGTCAAACCAAAGGATCCTTTATGCATCACTCTTCAGGATCTCATTCAGAGCAGCCAAGGAGATACTGTGTGTAGTATTCTTATTGATCTGAATGGTTTCTGGACCTATGAAAATCGTGAGGTGCTGGTAGCTGCTGATGGAGAGAGCCCTGCGGACATTGATGATACATAATGTACTATTGAAGAGCTATTCCTGTGAGCCCACCTCCCTTGTCATCACCATCGTGTGGATGGAATGGTTTTAATGAACTTGCCAGAGCTGGAAACATAGAATGCGAGTAAAGAATGGCATCAGCAATGTAATATTTTTCATGTCATGTTATCTCATATCTGTTCATCTAAGCTTCCTTGCAGGTACAGTCATTTGACTACCAGGATAAGTAAGAGTTCCAGGACTAGCACATGACTTCCATTGATCACCTCCTGAAAATGCTAGTTGTCTGGCTGTTATACTGACACTCTGGCTTCACTACTTTGAGGGCTCATAAACACCATGTGCAGGCATCCGTGTGTTTATGTGCCTGTAAAATGCAGGTCTCTGTAGGGGCACAAAGTTGGTGTGATATATGGTTCGGAAAATTTTAGACATGCAAAACACTGGATGGCACCAGAGGTTACCACAGTGCACTGTGCTGCTGTCTAGAGGCCTGAATGGAGTGTTCAATTCTAATAAAGGTAAAAAATGTAAACCGTACATTGCACCAATCCCTTACTGCCAACAAAAATTGGCAGCAGTGCGTACACATGCTTTAGTATGTGAGCAGTGTGAACTGAGGCTCTGCCATGGAAAAATAATATACAGAGCAGGAGAATCAGAAAAAAGTCAGAAGTCCTTATCTGTATATGTATTCTGGGTCAAGGTAATGAAGAGATCGGTTCATTATCACAGCCAGCCAACTAGAACTATGAGAAGGAGAGTTCAATAATAGCTGCCTCTTTATTTTTCTGATGACATGTATGTAGATAGGTGTGCACTGTCCTGGAACTATTTCTAGAGCCAGAAGTCAGGTGATTACAAGCTTGTGTGCTGGACTGGAGTTTCATCTGACAGATCCGCTTTAATGGGGTCCTGCAGGAAAAATTAACATATTTCACTCACACATTGGCTCAGTACATTATCTTCACTAGGAACAACAAGAGAACCAAAGGCTATCAAATGTTGGAGCCCTTTTGTGAGTAGTGCTTGCATCAAGAAGAAAGGGTAGACTCCTATAGCTTGTTCTAGTTCAAGTTAAAGCGGAACTTGACCCATAAACAGTTTGATAACAATTAATATTCTTTAACAAATTAACATGCATTTGACATAATTATGATCCCAAACTTGGTGTGCACTGTAACTTGCCTCCAGCATTGCTCCTGTTTCTTCTTGCTGGAGTCCACCATTTTGTTGAAGCCAGAGCAGTCCTTCTTATTGGAAATGCTCCCCCTCTCCTTGGTCTCAAAAACTGTCACTTTCTTCAATTTAAAATTTTTAAATGTCCATCCTTGAAGTTCACAGGCTGCCAATGAAAGACAAAGGAGAGGATATCAGTGAGATAGGATAAGATGCTATCCTTTTAAGTTTAATTCTATTGTGCCTCCCAGGCAGCAGAATTTGTCTTGTCACTTTTTTCCTGCTTTTCTTTTCTATCTCCCTAATCTGTGTTCCCTCTGCACAAGCTCTATCACTCCTGTTGCTTTCTTCTGCAACAGTAAATCTTTAAAGCTGTCCGCTGATTGACCTCTAGTGGCTCTGATTTTATATACAGTGCCTAGAATAGAAAGCAACTGAGCATGTGCAGAGCTGGGTGAGACAGTGTATTACTGGATTTAAAATGGGTAAAGCTCTAATTTTTAATGTTTTTACATAGCTATACCTGCAGAAGGGGCCAGCCTAAAGTCATCTATCAGAATTTGATTCTCTGATTTAATTTCCGCATTAACTATTAGTGCAAATAATTAAAAAAAATAGCATACAGTAAATAACTGTGTTTTGTTGCAAGTGTACTAATTTGGCTACAATCACCTTGAGCCCTGATCTGAAATTGGCAGCACTGAGAAAGACTGGTTGTTGGGTGCTGCTGTAGAATCCACCCCTAACAATCTCCTCAGCCTTCATGATGTCAGATAAGGGCTCAGACTTCACACAGCCCTAGAAAGCTTTTGTACTATGGGCTCTTTTCAGAGTCTTGTTACATAGTGTGGGCACTTTGGAAATGCTGTATGTTTTATTCATTAATTGTACAGTTTTTTTTACTTTTACTATACTTTGTCATCTCCAGAAAAGACCATCACTGGTCAGCCAGTATTAAGCTTAAAACGATTAAATCTCAGCCTTTGTGATGAACATCATGCTTGATTAAACTGGAACTCTGGCCAAAACACTTTTCTAGTTCTGAGTCGAGTTTGGAAAGCTTAGAAATTCTTTTTATGTTTGATTACTCCCTTTGTCCCCATTGGGACGATTCCCTTCAATTCTTCTCTGAGTGATACAACCAGGAGTGTGATGAAATCCCTTCTTAGTTATTACTGGAATGTGTCCTTTGTGGACAACGTGCCCCCTACTGCTGTTCTGGTTTTAGATTTCCCTTCACTATCTGTCCTGGTCATCAAGACAGGAAATATGTGGAAATTTCCCCAATTAGGTCACAAATGAAAACAAACATTGGAGAGGTTCTATTGCTTCTCATTTCTGTGTTGTCCTTCCATCTTATGAAATATACACAAAGAAAGGTGTATTTGTCTTGTTAGCAGTTGTAAACCTGAAGTTTTTAATGTTAGGTTTAATTGTTACTTTGATAAGTCTTCCACTTACTGTCAAGCACATATTTAAATTAACTGCTTCCCGGCTGCCCTATAGCAGAAATACTGCTACAGGGCGGCATGGGTGTGCAAAATCATGTGTATATATACGTGATTCTGCATTTCCGGGTAGGGGGTGCACGCCATGCCTGCACAGTGGCTGTCAATCACTGAGTCCCAGACGGGGATTACTCGCTGGCGCCCGGCGATTGCCAAGGATCTTCGACGGGGAGGAGAAGTTATTCCAAAAGATGAACGAACGAAACCAGCGCTCCAGTCTTCATACAACCAAGGCGATGCCAAAATGCCAACCGAATAGGTGCTGCTCTTTTAAGATCGGGGAATCTGACCACTAGTGGAAAAGAACAAACAAGGGCGCACTCTCATCGTGCATTACCATGGTATAACACGTATTTATTAAATGAAAAGAGAATATATACTCACAAACCAACGTGGTAAAAGGTGGTCCACAAGGACAGTCACAATGCATCTGTGTCTACTGGTGCAGATAGGCTAACGCGTTTCGGGAGCTAAACCCCAGCTCTGAGGAAGAGGGTTTAGCTCCCGAAACGCGTTAGCCTATCTGCACCATTAGACACATGCATTGTGACTGTCCTTGTGGACCACCTTTTACTACCTTTCATCACGTTGGCTTGTGAGTATATATTCTCTTTTCATTTAATAAATACGTGTTATACCACGGTAATGCACGATGAGAGTGCGCCCTTGTTTGTTCTTTTCCACTAGGGGAGGAGAAGTTACTAAACAAAACAGTTCTCCCTGTCGGCTCGTGCACACTGCTTTTGATTAGCCTGAATACGCTTTTTATACTGACAGGGCATCAATGCGGGAGGTTGCCATGATAACTATTCATTCATAAAAGGCAATCTGTCATCTCCCCACGCACCCTTTGACGAAGCCACAGAGGCGTAAGGGTGAATAGTTGACTGAGTGACATTTCATATACCGGCATATTGGCTCAAAGCTGACAGTTCCATACGGACTACAGTGACAGGACATTATCAGGGGATGAGAGGGGAGAGAGCATACTTATTCCATCCACGAAGCTTCTACCAGCTGCGGCAGTCATACCATTCCGATACCGCTGTCACCTGTAGTGCACCAGGAGTGTGCACTTTATTTGTGAGTTATTTTACATTTTTTTTAATACATTTTATATATGGGTACATACTATGTTAGCTTATCTTGTTACATAATCGGTGAATCGTTACATCGGAACGTTCATATTGGAACTTTGGAGGACTCCTACCTGAAGGACATCCAGGGATAATAGGGTTAAAGGCCAAAGTTTAGTAGGTCTAACCATCAGGTGAGAGGGTGAAGGTTCCTCACTAGTGATGATTCCAGCACTTGGATGGAAGGGAACCATTTTAAAACAGCTGATTGAGACTTTTATTTGATGTGTATATCATTGTGATGAATGTTTTGTTACAATGTTTCTTGTTTAATATGTATTCAGTAAGAATCCTGATATGAACTGAGAATATGCTGCATTAATTCTTTTGTATTTCTAGTCTTTTATCTGTAGCACTGTCCTATTAACTATATTGTACGTCACATATGTGGTGTGATCATATGAGGACATAGGATCAGCAGATTGTTTTCATTTATTTATTCATTCATTGCTACTGTATCAGGACCATGCACAGGTTGATTTTATTTAAATTTTAAATTGTATTTCCACTTTTGCATTCAGTTTGGGATAACCCTTTATATTCCCATGTTTTTATTCACATAATATAACTTAGAAAAATACCAAACAATTGCTGCTATGTAATTGGACTGTGGATTTGATGTTTACCATAAATAATCCTGTCTGTACTGTGCTGGCAGTTTTTCATTATCAGTTGTAAACTAAATTTCAAACCCTGTTCTAACAATAATGGGTGAAAGACCTTATGGCTTGGATTCTGAAGCTGACATCTTGTATATGGGAACAAGGTAAGACTTGCAACACACTAGGTCTATAGGAAGAGGACAAAAAAGGAACATGGCCTCTGGAGGGGAGTAAAGATTTAAGAACAGGGAACGGAGGTTACAATTTGCATAGACTCACCAAAATTGGATAATAGAAGTTTGGAAAAATGTTGCGTGGTCTGATGAGTCTTGTTTTCAGATGGGAGGTTAGACTTTGGTATAAACATGAAAGCATGATCCATACTTCCTTGTACCAACGGTTCAGGGATGTGCAGCCCATCCAGTCCCCCTTGGGGATCTTTAGGAGGGGAGCACACCCTGATCGATGGCATGATTAGTCCCTCTTTCAGGGAATCTTGAACCACCCCCACCTGACCAAAGCCTCTACTTGTTGGCTGGTGCCTTCTCTTTTGCCAGTCGCCCAGGCAAAACAGGAGTCACATAATGGCTTGT